ATTTAATTAATAAATAATTATAATAAAAAAATTAAATTAGATTAAAAAATTAGAAAAATTTCTAAAAATCTTTTCTTTGATAAGAATTCTTACATTTTTATAAGATAATTATAATTGTTCATGTTTAATATATAAAGGTTAATTTTTTTAATGATAATTTTGAACTTTGCATTGTAACCGTGTTGTATTGTACTCTAATGTTATAAAGCTTATTATATGTCCTTGTTCGTGTAATATAATATGGCCTTTGTGTCTCGATCGTATATGTATCTACTATCAGGTAAGAGTAAAATAATAAAATTAGCCACCATCGTGATATATGTAATGATGAATCAACGGCTATGAATCTTCCAGTGTGATCCAGAACAATATGGAGAGTGTGACGCAGGCTGCGGTGGTGGGTTGATGAACAACGCATTTGAGTACATACTTGAGTCTGGTGGAATACAGCGAGAAGAAGACTATCCATACACCGCAAGAGATGGCACCTGCAGATTTGACAAAAGCAAAATTGCGGCTACTGTATCTAATTACAGTGTGGTTTCCCTTGATGAAGATCAAATTGCTGCAAACCTAGTGAAGAATGGCCCTCTTGCAGGTAGCTTAATTCTTCTCTATGGACCAAAATACTTGGCTCCACAACTTACTTTCTCCCTTTCCCCATCCAAAAAGGAACTACATACATATATATCTGTTTGATTGCAACTTTTTTTAAGGATAAAATTTTCATACATGATAAGGTTCTCTAATTAAAGTTAAAATCTTATTTCGATAACATGCATTGATATTATGACGTATATTATCGGAAGTATAACTGTAATTTTGATTGATGAGTAATGCCAAAAGTATGATACTGTAATTAAGCTGCCCCTTTTTCTAATGGCAAATTAGAGAAATACTGACTATTGCTTTGCTTGGTACAGTTGGTATCAATGCACTTTATATGCAGACATATATAGGTGGCGTTTCATGCCCATACGTCTGCGGGAAGCATTTGGATCATGGGGTTCTTCTAGTGGGTTATGGCGAAGGTGCATATGCTCCCATTCGTTTCAAGAAAAAGCCTTACTGGATCATTAAGAATTCATGGGGTGAGAACTGGGGAGTGAAAGGATATTACAAGATCTGCAGAGGCCAAAATGTATGTGGAGTGGATTCCATGGTCTCAACTGTAGCAGCTATACATTCATAAAGCCGTTAAACACAAAGGATATGCCTCATTGTGCTTATGTGATGTAATATTGGGCCAGAGGAGTTTGTATATAAATATTTATTTTGCGCACTGTATGAGATACTGTGATGTGTTACTGGAAAAATTATTTCCATGTAGCGGAAACTGCTACGATCATGTTACATAGAATGTAATTCTATATGCTTGCTAGTTAAATGTCGTTGTCCATTGTTAGGGCAACATGGCAGAGTAAATGGATTAAAGATACTTCAGTATAAAATTTCATTAATGTATTTATTTGAAAAAATACTCGTCTTTCTTCAAAGTCGTCGAAAGTATTCAATCTTTGAAATGGTTGTTACATTTACAAAAGAGACTTTGAAACTTAAGTCAGCAATTATTCAAAATTTGTAGGTGTTTTTTTTAGAATGATCATGTCTTCTAAAAATAAAACACGAGAGTATAAGTAAGAAAACATTTGTTACCAATAAATGTGAAAATATTAAAGAGTATTCAAAATCTTTAATAATCATTTAATGCTCAGACGCTACTCTATGTGGTTTTAACTTTGGACTAATGAGTCTCAGCATGTTGAAGACCATTTGGTTTAATAGTAGTGTACCTTCTCGGTATACCATCTAGTATATGGGTGTATATACTATGTTCCCAATTTTTCCCTTCTCAATATTCTTTGTTGAAGTTGAGGTGAATTTTGTGGTGGTACGAGATTTATCTAGTACATAAGCTTCCTAAGTCTTTGATTTTCAAGGAGAAGAGTTCATTTTTCAGTTGCATTTGCATTATTCTTTTTGGCACGAAGAGATTTTGTTCCCCACTTTTGAATTTTGAAATCATTACTTTATGATATGTTGTTGTTTTGGGATATGTAACTTTAAGGTCATTTCAGGGGAGTGTAATGATGGCATGTTTGTTACGTTGCAATTTTCTAGAGACCTAGGTGTGAAGGGACATGGTAATGCAAAAAGTCACCTTCCTTTCATCTATTAATCCCGAAGAGATCTAATAGTTTAAAGAGATGTGACGCTTCATTTCTCAATGCCCCTTGTGCCTATAAATAGGGTCCCTTACTTCTCACAAGGAATTACCTACCACCTTCACCTTCAAATTACACCGAGTACTTATCATCATTGATAATTTCCAAATATGGATTCAATCTCTATTCAATTTAGGTAATAATTAATATATCATATTTCTAAATCTTGTTTTTTTGGTCACAAAACACTTAATCAAGATTTAATTTTATTTTAGAATTTAATTTTTAAACAATAGGTATTTTAATATTTTTCTTTGTTGAGATATAACATAGAAAAAAGATAATTTGGATGTTACAAGTCTCAAAATTGCGAACCATCACTCTAAGCTACATAAAAGATTAATTCTAAGTAAGGAAAATTCACTCAAAGCAACCAATAACTCCTTTTGAGCAAGCCAAGTCAGAGAGCAACCCTGGAAGGCTATAACAACTTGCTCAAAGTGAGCTACTTAGACACTCTGAGCAAGCAAAATTCACTTAGAGTTACCACACGAATGCTACTTGGAAGCTCGAACATGCTCCCTCAGAGTGAACTACATGAGCACTCAAAGTGAGCGTATCAAACATAAAAGTCCATCAGATTTGTTATAAAAGTAAGGTCTCTAGGAAGTTTCTATATTCCATTCTTATCAATCAGTATTCTTCTTAGAATAATTAAAGAGAGTTCTTATGAGGTTACTCTTATAATCATGGATTTCTCAAAGGTCTTTTTTTGTTGTTGTGTAATTCTTAGTCATGAGTGACTAAGTATCTACTGTTGGAGATTGAGGTAACTACTTGAATTATATAATTTTCTCTGTATTTTCATTCAATAAAGTCTTTATTCAATTAATCGTTTTGATCCTTGACCTTAATGTAGGGTTGTTTAATCTAAATTACAAAAAAAAAAAATTAAAGAAACCTAGACTTTGTCACTTAAAGATTTAGGATTTAAATATAATTGTGAACTGTCAAATTTACTATATAATTACAACATTAAGTGGATAATTAAGAGGTTTTACACAGGAAAAGTTAGTAAATTAATCTCTGACTGTTCTTATTATTAAAAGTTATTGCTTTATATTATTTTCACTAAATATTTCTTGTTGAACAATTTCAAATTATCATTAATTATCTGTTTAGTACCAAATTTAAGAGGTATTACATAAGGAAAGTTAGTGAATCAATCTCCAGCGATTCATATTATTAAAAGTTACTACTTTATATTATTTTCACTAAATATTTCTTGTTGAACAATTTCAAATTAAAAATAAATTATCTTTTTAGTACCAAAATTTTATTATACAATTATAAACCCAAGTTCATATGGATTCGATAACGTGGACTTCTTTTCAATTTACTACCTATGACAATTGATATACTTGCCAAATGTGTAATAAGTAAATGGCATTGTTGTCGAAGACTTGCATCCTATAATTGTTTAATTATAATACGATGCCAAACTAGATTTGTAATTTTCTATTTTTCTTAATTTCTTATTTTTTTTTATTTCAGTCTATTTTATTTTAATTTTATTATATCTCATTTGTTCTTCGTTTAGCCTAAATTTTGTTTATGTGAGGTGAAACTCCTATTGTAGAGCTGCATTATGGTCTAAAGATTGAAAAAACTTGTAGAAGAAATAATGCTTTGTGAAGGAGACAACAACAAGCCAACCAAAACACCTTAAAAGTTGAATCAATGGCAAAAGAAGGAGTAAATCCTCCTCCTCCTTCTCATCCACAACTAGAGCGAAAGAGGTTGGCTGATTACATGGCACATCGTGGTCTTAGGGAGTTCAATAACATTACACGACCTACTACTACCGCTACTCAATTTGAGCTTAAGCCGACATTTCTAAATCTAATAAGAGGGAATCAATTCTCTAGAGCCAACAATGAAAATACTCATACACACTTGTTTGAGTTCATCATGATTTGCAACACCATGCAATATCAAGGTGTTTCAGATGACACCATCAGATTGTCAGTGTTCCCTTTTTTCACTAGGTAGGAGAGTTAGTTATTGGATACAATCATTCTCACCTAATAGATTTCACTACATATAATAAATATCTAGAGAAGTATTTTCCTACAAAGAAAATTATGCAGTTCAAGATTTCCATCAACAACTTTCAGTAGGAGGCAGACGAGTCACTATTGGAAGCATGGGATAGATACATAAATCTGCTAAGGAAGTGCTCGAACCATGGATGAGATGATATGGACTAGATATGCATTTTTCTAGATGGACTGCTATGTGATACTAAGCTAATTTTGGATGCCTCAACTAAAGAAAATATTAATTACAAGACACCAAAGGAAGTTGACATCATTATAGAAAGTATTGCCAACAACCATAGTGGATCCTAGAGGAAAAGATTCACACCATGGAAAGGAGTTTATGAGTTGGGTGCCAACGATGCTATATTGGACCAAAACAATTTTTTTCCCCAACAAATGGAGATATTGAACAAGACAATGGGGAAGTTACCACAACAAATCCAACAACTGCAATCTCAGGCACCTACATTTGCTTCTACATACTATATCTGTTGTTGTGAGACTTGTGGAGGTATGAATCTGTGAGGGCAATGTGGAGTGGTGGTGGAGGAACCTCAATAAGAGGTTAACTACATGAGTAATCAAGGAAGATAAGGAGGTCATCAAGGTGCAAACTTCAATAGAGAAGAGGGACAACAACATCAAAACTTTGGATGGAATTAGAATGGTGTAGGCACTTCCAATGCAGCTCCTCCAACGTCCAAGCCTAACCTATATGACCGTCAAACAAGGTTAGAGGACACCCCAACCAATTCATACAAATTTCCACCACTAACTTGAAGAATACACATGTCGTAATTAGAGACATGGAGGTCAAAATGGGGCAACTCTCTACTCAATTGGAGGAGAGATTTTCTAGTAAATTTGTTGCTCACACACAACCCAACCCCAATAGGAATTATAATGCCATTTTTACAAGGAATGGTAAAGAGTATGGTGTTGTGGTTGGAGTGAAAAACAAAATGGAGGAAATAAATGGAGAAGACGAGGGAGAGAAAGAAGAAAAAAAATGACAAAAATAAAAAAATGAAAAAAAAAGTATAAAAGAAAAATAAGAAGTAATATATGAGGGAGAACAAGTGAAAAAAAATGAAACATCAAGTAGAAAAAAAGGAGAGGATGAACACACAACAACACTTGGTGAAAGAATTACCATACCCTTTTGTAGCCATAAAAAATAGTAGAGAAAAACAATATGCTCGATTCTTAAATATCTTTAAACAACTTTGAATCAATATACCATTTTTTGAAGCTTTGGAGTAGATGCCTATCTATGCTAAGTTTATGAGGGAGTGACACACGAAGAAAAAGAAATTCATTGAAGAGGACATCATTAAGATAAAGGCAAGCTATAGTGCCATCATCTAAAAGTCTTTGCCTCCAAAGCTTAAGGATCTTGGAAGCTTCACCATTCCTATCACTATAGTAAATCTAATGGTGAAGAAAACTCTTATTGATTTAGGGGCTAGTATCAACATGAGACCTTATACATGTTTTCCAAGAATGGGGAGGTAAAGATGAAGCCAAACCAAATGATATTGTACTTAGCAGATAGATCTCTGAAATATCCTCATGGAATGGTGGAGGATTTGTTGGTAAAGGTAGACAAGCTCACTTTCCCAACAGATTTTGTAGTTATAGATATTGAGGAAGAAATGAATATCCTTAGCATTTTGGGAAGTTCATTCATGACCATAGCCAAAATATTAATTGATGTGGTAGATGAACAATTCCAAATAAAAATGTAGGATAAGGCAATAACTTTTAATGTGTTAAAAGGAAGGAGTCATCCACTTGATCAAGGGTTGCGTTTCATGATAAAAGAAAAAAAAAGAAGACAAACCTTGATAAGGAAAGAGGGGAAATGCCAATAGGTCAGCCTAAGAAGACGAAAGTCCAAGTAGTCAAGACCTTATGTCATCAAGGGATATGTGAGACCCGTAGCTTATTGCTTTTTCCTCACTTCTCTCACTTTCATTATTCACTCATATTCTCTTCTCCCCAATTTCCCTACGCATTGTTGCCTGATTCTTCCTTCTTTGGTGAGCTAGGTTTTGAGTATCTGGTGATCTTGCTGACATTTCTCCTCCTCCGTTCTTCATTTCCTCAAGCTTGTCCTTCTACGTTTAAGCTTCTCTTTTTCTTCCCGCAGTCCCGGAGCTTGGTTTTTCTTCACACCGAGGTAAGGGAAGCTAGTTACTTTGCTGTTTTTGGTTGAGAAT